AAACGCCGAGGTAGAACAGTTTGTCTTAAATCTGTTAAAATTACGTTTGCCTGAAACTTCTGTTTGAATATTGTTAACTTCAGTGTTTAGCCATCAACAATAAATCTTTTTTGTTTCCCTTTCCCCTCCGTTTTGTTGCTTTTGTTCGCGACTAATCAAACATTATTTTTGCAAATAAATTATACTGTTTTTACACCGCTGTCACTACCATCACAACAACTACATTTACTTCTTTTTTTCTTCAGTTTCTTTAATTACTATTTCTAGATAGCTTTTAAGCTGGTAAATACCAAAAAAAAAAAGAGAAAAGCGTAGAAATGAAAAAAAATGATTCATCTTTCTCTGTTCTTTTTTTTTTTCTCTTTTCTTGTACCACTTATTGAATTCATCTCGACATTATTCTTGCTGCTGTTGCTGCATAGAGGAAAAACCCAACGGGGCAGAAAAATAAAGGTTAAAATTTGTAAAATAAAAAACGTAAAAAAAAAGAAACAAATAAAAACAAGAAAAAAAAAGGAGCAAAAAATTTATAAGCACTACACTAACAGCATTTCAGAAAAGAGGAAAAACCACTGAACAAGCCGTATATAATTTTACGATTCAGTTGCAGAACGGGAAGAAAAAAAGGTTCAGGGAAGTGGTGAACAACACAGTCAGATGAAGATACAAACACACGTACCCGCATTGATGTACCCAGAAAGAACAGTTATTTATCCTCCGATAAACTTTAGAACAAAACTGTCCAGATACTGACGAAGAGCCAAGAAAAAAAAACTAGATGGTGAGCAAAGTGTGCTTCAGCAAAGAAACGGTCGACGTTGTTCACATGTTTCGTAGAGCGATGCTATAGCTGTTGGGGCGACAGACACCACCGGTCCCAATGAGCAAAAAAGCTCCTGAGGTCAGAACACAGGAGGGGTTTCGGGCAACAAACAATGCTGCCTAATGATCAGGTTACATCGGCATCAAAAATGCTTTACTAATCTGCCTTCCTCTCACCACTTACTCCAAGCACTGACCGTCAGATCGATTTCAGGACCGAAACAAAAAAGCAAGACACTCATTTTGAGATCAAATTAACAAAGCAGTTATCGAAACCAAGCATAAATTTTTGAGGCCCATTTTTTTGTTTACTTGTCCGTGTGTAAATGTCAATTCCATCAGCTTAAATTTATCAAAAATAAATCTTTGTCGCCAACGACTCGCTGAAAGTTGGTCACTAAAACATTTTCTTTTTGTAAGGAGCTAGACGATGACGCCAAATAAAGAATTTTTTAACAAAATAAAAAAACTCTTAACTTTAGACTATCCAAATTTGATTTTAAAAAACAAAAAGCATAGTTGGGTTTTTCAAACAGTTAACCACTAAGAAAAAAAAAAAAAGAAATGAAAGACCCGATAATCAATGTCCTATTGTTCTTTTTGTTTTGTATTATATTAAAAAACCAAAAGATAAACAGTTACATAACGTGCCCTCAGCTACGTAGAAGAAAAAATTTGCAGTACTTACTGATACTGTACGTACTGTTTTGTACACTAATATGAAAAAACATTATATCAATGTTGATCAGAAGGAAAAGATAAGACCTGAGAAAAAATGCATATTGAAATCTGTATTCTAAAGGTTTTTATTTGTCTCTTTGCTTATCAAAAAATCTGTTGAAATTACCTGACGTTAAAAAAAATAAAACTAAAGCTGGATCGAAAATAAAAAAATAAGACTGAAGAAGTAAAGAAGTTGCCTTTTACGAGTATCATTGAGTTCACTTGTTTTTTGCAACGCTATTGCTGAGCAATTTGTTCCCACTTTTCCCTCCTCAAAAAAGCCTTTTTTTTTTTTTTCAGTTTGTATGTATGTCACTGTCAGTGATACTTAAAGCTTTAATTTTTAGAACCTTAAAATAGATCACCTCAAAAAGTTCATTGACCGTTCTAGCAAATAATCAGCTCTGGAGGATTCATTTCCAACAAACTATAAAACAGCAACCAAAAATAATAGTGAAAACATAACAGCAACAGCAGCAAAAGAAAAATAGCCGTAAATCATTAAAGGACAAAAACCTAGGAAAATTATTTCTCACCCCCCGTTTACCTTTTGAAATAAGAAACAGTGAAACGAATAAAATGTAAAAAAAAAAATTTATTTTTGAAAAAATTAGCTAAACAACAACAGCAAAAGAAATTTAAGAGAGAAGAAGTTAAAAATAGCAGTTGTGCTTTGTTGAGGACAATAATCAACGAGAATAAATAAATTAACGGCCCGTAAAGACAACAAACATTTAGTTAGTTAGTTGGTTGGGAAAATAAAAGCGATATTTGTCGCAGGGAATTGGAAGAAGAGTATGAATGAGAGATCGGAGTTGGTTGGAGGAATGAAGGTACATCGAGGAAGCAAACAGAATAGAGGAAAAGAAAACGTTGACGACGATTAAGGAAGGTGAACAACAGTGACAACAACGACAATTAAAGACTAAGGGTTTCTGTTGTTGTTACTCAGGAATAAATTACCTTGAGAAATCACTGAACTGCATAATAACTACTTTGCTGAATTAAAAATTTTCCTTAAAAAATCTTCTAGAAGAAAAAAGATAAAAGAACAGCACATCTTTTCTGAATGCTTCTATGTATGTATCCGTCAAAACAGCAAAAATAAAGTTATCGAAAGAATAAAAATGAGGTAATTATAAAATTATTTCACGAAAATCTAAATTTACTACATTCTTTTTCTTCGTCAAGAAATTTGATTAAAACAGCAAAAAAATAAACTATTTATGGCGACAAATTGAAAATATAGCAGCCAGTACTTCTGCCGTCTTATTTAAATCAATTAAGAGTTGTAGACTGATCAATTCAATGTTTTTTAAAGACTAAAGGCAACAACAGCTGCATCGGATACAGTTTACTATGTCTATTAATAATGCAGAAGATTTTAAAACAGAAATCAAAAAGTCCTAATCTTCAAAATTTTCTGATTTTTTCCATTAAGTGCATTTTTTTTCATTATTATCTCCGTTTACTAAGCAACTGAATAATTTAGTTAAAAATTAGTTATAATTTATAGGTATTTATTGTTAGTCCGGTAAACCGGTTTATCAATAATTTTTCAATATTTTACTAAATTTATGTAATTATAATCCAGTTGATCAATTTACTCTTATTACTGCTAGTGCCAGCTTTGATGCTTGTTCTAGCTTATCTAACACTACTTACTAGGAACACTGACAGTAAAAGTGGCAACAAAAAGAGACAGAAATTTTTTGCTTGATGATTATCACCCGAAAAAATTTACGTTTTCAAAACTGTCTTAGAAGCACAGCACACATACTCTCTTTCTAAATAAGTAAAAAATTTATGACCAACATTAATACCAAAAAAAACCTCCATCATCACTCATTGATCTGTTCTGAGATGTAATATATCAAGCAGGCATCTATCTAGCTAATATATCATAAAAATAACAACTAAAGATGTATCAAACGCATTTCATTCATTTCAATCATTTGTAACCACGATCTTTTTTGTACTGCTGTTTATACTAGGAAAATTAGAGAAGAAGAAATGATGAAAAGCAGCCAAAAATGTGATAAAAAGAAATGTCGAAAAGAATTGACAATTTATTTAATTTAGTTGATAATCTGTAAAATGCAGTGAAAATGTCACTCCAGAGTTTAATGGCTTCAACTACATCAATATCTGTTCCAAACCTGCTGGCTTCTTTTGGTCAAACATACCAAGACTGAGTCAAAAGAGATGATAGATATTGACGAAAGAAAACAAAAGAAGTAGGAAAAAATCCAAGATGTTTTTTTTTAATAGTTTTCAAAAAAGACTGAGATTTTTTTTGCAGGTACAAATTCTGAGGCTTAAAAATTGCAAAAAAAAATTAGCCAAGAACAGAGAAAAGTCGAGAAAAGAAAACAGTAAAGAGTAACATAAGCAAAATTTACAGGCTCATACATAAACCCGAAAAAATAAAGTTAAAGACAAGAAAAAAACAATTAAGGATAGGTTCATTTTCTAAAAAACGAAACAAGGAAAAAAAAACAAATTATAAACCTGGTTGGTCGTCTGGAAACACCATTGAAATGATGGAAAAAGTCTTTTGCCGATTTTCGACGTGTACGTGTCTGTCGTCGAAATACAACAACAGAATCTGAGAACTGACTGTCCATGATACGGTCCAATTTAGCAAATGATCAGCAGCTAGCCAACTAACCACAGCTTCCACACTTAACGAGACTTTCCACTCGTCCGAATACCGGTTAACAACAGTTCACAGTCTGTGCCTCTGTGTCTGTGTGCTGTTTCTATGTGTCTATTTGTATACCTCTGTGTTTGTATGGGTGTGGGTCTGTGTTCTGCGAGCGCGATACGTACGATACCAACTGACAATAAATTATTGGATGTTAAAAAAAAATTAAATTTGTTCGTGTCATAATCAAAATAAGGCAACAAATTACGACAGATACCATCAATCGGCAAAAAAAAATATTGTAACGATTATCCCTAACACTCAAAAGATACAAAGACTGTTACAGGTTCTTTATCTCTTTTTGGCTCTACATAATATTCTTTTATAGTAAAAAAGTAGAATACTCTTTTTGCTTTAAATTTAAATGGTAATTGCAGAAATAACATTATAAAATAAATCGCAAACAACAAAACAAATTATTGCATAATGTTTGGTGTCAAACAAAAAAAGAAAAATTAAGAAGAAAAAGCAAAAAAAA